TACACGCAACTTGACGGTTGCCACACTGAGTGGCTGCACACGAGCTTTTGAGAAAGCACGGCAGAGTTACCAAACTGAGAACGCCACACGGCCATGAACACAGTATTTCTTTGAGCGGAGACAGCTCGCCCTTTGGGTAGTGAGTTTTTGAGTGAGAGGACATTGTGGAGAGTTAGCGAAGAGAATGGGTGAAGGAGAGTGGAGTTAACCAGCAGAAACATGGACTCTGCGTGGAGCGTATTGAGATAGAAGGTGCAGAGATCTGCGCCGTCCAAGATGGCGGATGACCCCAACGTTCCATTGTCCGAATACCTCATCTTTATGCCTACTGTATGCCCGTGTTCTCCTCCTCTGGCAACAGATGGTAATTATATGAGGAAGAAACGGGTCATCAGCTTTGCGGCAGCTGTTTGGGTTTGCTGTTTCTGGAAGCTTCTAGCTCTCTTTGTCACCACAGAGACTGCATTAGTTAATTGCTGCTCTTCCAGATTGCATTGCGTTATTTCAGGCAGTCACAGAACCTGGAGAAAGAAACTCACTATTCCTGAGGTGTCTCCATTTGCTTCAGTAGGGCTGCAGTTTCTCCTCTGCTGCGAGAGTCCCTCAGGGTAGATTCTCCCCACCCCCTCCCCATTTTGTTTTGTTTTTTACCCTTCCTCACTGCAGCCATCCAAGGCTTTTTGTCCACAGCGCTCGGCAGTGCCTTTTGCGAGGGCGACAGAGGGCTGCTGTGGGGAGCGGCTGGGGGGGGGGGGGGGGAAGCACAACCACAGGCTTGGATCCCGCCTAAAAATGTCAGGGACAGCAGGGTTTCAGCCTGTGTAGTGTGACTTCCTCACTTTGCCCCCCACACACAGATGCACTCCACGGGAATGGGGGAGAGGGGAGCTGCCGTGAGAAGTGGGAATTGGTAAAAACTGTGCCTCTCCTGAGAACTTTTAGGTAGGAGCTAAGCTATAAGGTCCCCTGCATTTCAGGTGGAAAATAGTTTTGTGCTACACATTAATAGATAACTGTTTATTGTAGGGCATTTCTTGCTAAGCTTGGCCTGCCCTTAAACTGGGAAAGAAATGGATTGAACCACCCAAATTTAATGGGGGGGGGGGAATGATATGCCGGCACTGCTTAGTCTTGTCCCAGGCACATCAGTGAAAAGGTGCTGTGGTGGTCTTAGAGCATGAAAAACTTGTGGTGTTCAAGGGGAACAACACCCCCCCCCCAAATAAAACTTCACAGCACAGTGAGTTGCTTCATCACACTTGCTTGCACTCACTCACATAGTCACCTGGGGTGAGCAGAAAAATCTTCCAGGCGATCATGTTTGTGTGATCGTCTATGCATACGAAAGGAAAGAAGATGCAGGTTTCTCCTGTGGTACGTGAGACCCCAGCATATGTTCTTAGTTTATATTAATATTTATACTAATAGTAATAATAGTTCTAATATGAATACTAATAAGTAGGGACACTTTGGGGATGTGTTCTTGCCTCTCTTTTTGGAGGATGCCTGCCTTGCTGTAGCCATCTTTTTTAGTATTCTGCCGGCATCCCTTGTCATGCCTGATGTTGCAGATTAGCTCTGGAGGATTGTGTTCTGCTCCCAGCTTAGTTTATATTTAGCAGCTGCATCAATCTCCCCCTAATCCACGACCACGGCCGGATTAATCTCTGCCGTGGCTCTTCAGTGGAGAGGCCTCTCTCCGTGGGAAGAATTAAACTGGGGAGCCACTTTTCAGATGCTGATGTGGCCAGACTGCTTCATGGAGGATAAGATTCAATTTGGGATACTGATCGGACTTAATTGGAAATAAACTCCACTGAAATCAATCAGGCCGACTTCCAAAGTAAGTGGCTGCCGGCCAGAAAGCTGTAGCGGGGGCGGGGGGGGAGCTCTGGGAGTACATTTGGGCAGCTCTTTCCTCTCCTATCCGAGTCTCCCTCCCCATTCCCTCCATCAGAAGCGGGTGTTGAAACAGACAAGATTTTGAACCCCTTGCAGTATGGCAAACAGATGCCACTAAAGTAAAAACAAAAAACAAAAAAACGCCAACCCCCTGTGGATTGATTCACACGTTCAAGCCGATTCCTGGATTCCACTGCTTCGGTGTCCTTTTCCAGTTATGGTAAAGAAGACTTGCTTTTTGGAAAGTAGAATATGAAAAAAAAATCGGATCTAGATTTATTTTCTCAGGCGTACCAATCAATATCAGGTAGCTTTCCTGAGAAATCCAAACACCTTCAGACTGAACCAGCCTTGCACATGAATCCTTGAACCTTACTTGCCCACACAGCCTTTGATAGCTCATCTGACCGTTTGTGGCACGACAGAAGGAAAGCCAGGTTTCTTCTGGCTCACTAGTTTTCCTGCCTGGTCGTCTGGAGGGGGTTTATATTCACCCACGGCGACCAAGCCAATGGCTGTTTACAAGCCTGGCTTGGATGTGACCCCATACTCAAAGTTAGGAACTTGACGTGATCTTTCCCAATTTTATTTTTGTCCCAGGCTCTTGCAGCTCCAGAGAATAGTCCTGAGCACGGATTCTGACCTCCCAGATGAACTCCTTTATGGAAAAGCTGGTTACTTGTATGCCTTGCTTTATTTGAATACCGAAATCGGCCCCGACACTGTCCCCCAGTCAGTTATCAAAGAGGTAAGAAAAGCGGTGATCTACCATCCGTGACTTTTCAGGCGGTCCCAGATGATAGGACGTTCCAGGAGGTTGGCTTCTTTGTGAGTAAAAAGCACCGGAAATGTGTTGTGGCTCCCACTTGTAATGTATCCACTTCCATATATTTGGAACCCTGGTCCTGCCAAACAGTTTTCTGCATTCCCACGCCTTCCCCTGTTCTCCTCCATGCTTTCTGGGTGGTAAGCCAGCTCTGTTCTCTCATGCTAGCAGTGATCCAGCGCCAGTAGCAGGAAGTCCTGTCTCAGCATAATAGAAGGGATGTTGGTGGGATTGCTGTGCTGGGGAATTGCTGTGTTCCTGTTTTGGGGTGTCAAGATAAATAAGGAAGACTGCAGAGAGATTGTCCTTCCATACAGGAGGGGAGGCACAACACAGTCTTCAGAGAAATCAATAAAATAGTGTCCAGAATTGCTGCATTTGTGGGTTGCGATAATGGCAGGAATGAGGCTGGTTCTCTAAAGGGTTCCATAAGTACCAGCAGGGCTATTTTTGGGCAGGAACGCACAGGAACAGAGTTCTGGCTGGCTCCCGAGTTGGCCACGCCCAGCAGGAACTCATTAGCATAACAGGCCACGCCCAACAGCAGAAACTCATTAGGATTGGCTACATTAGGGGGGTGTGGCCTAACATGCAAAGGAGTTCCTGTTACAAAAAAAAGCCCTGGAACCGTTTTGACAACAAATAAGGTAAACAGAATAAGAAGCAAAAGGTGGTTGTGACTGGATGGGGGTGCGGCCTAATGTGCTAATGAGCTGTGCTGTCAGGGGTGTAGCCTAATATGCTAATGAGTTTATGCTGTTGGATGTGTCCTATTATGCTAATGAGTTCCTGCTGGGTTTTTTCTACAAAAAGAGCCCTGAGTACCAGTGTGTTTTGGTTGTATAGTAGGAAGAGTATTCTGTCTGTAAAGAAGCAGTAATACTGACTACAAAGGTATAACTGTCAGTCAAAGCAGGTACAGTGTCATTCAGTCCAAGTGACGCACAACACATTTGTAAAGTCAAATCCTAGAATCTGTTTTTCCATTCGGTAAAGTATCGTTGTTTACAAAAAGCAATACTCAAGTAACAAATGTACTAGGTGGACGAAGAGGACCTCTTGCAGCAAATGAGTATCAGCTAAACGTATGTTGTATAAAAATAGGTTTGACTGGACAGACTTTCGGAGCGTTCTTTGAGAAGGCAGTTGCCATGGGAACATCACCAGCTGGTCCCCTAAGATATGGTCCTTGCATTTGAAAAATTCTGTTTGAGGCTCATCTGTCGTCGTGCATCTCTTGAGATGTTCTGTGCGGGAATTGTGTATCATCCGTCGCCCTAAATTACATGGCCCCAGAATGCGCCCGTCAGGTACGAGATGTTCTCTGGCCATGATTGATGTCTTCCGCTCTTGCTGTCGCTTTAGGTAGTGAACTCCATCATTGAGTCGGGTAAAAAGCTTTCCCTGGAGGAACGGAAGGCTGAACGCTGCCCGTTGTTGTACCAGTGGCACAAGAAGCAGTACGTTGGTGCGGCGCATGGTGTGTCGGGAATCTATTACATGTTAATGCAGGTAATGCTCTTGGTTGTTGAAGGCCCATGTTCTTGCCTACTTGTGACGTAAATTTATTTATATATGTTATTTATAATCTGCCTTTCTCGCAGGGACTCAGCGGATTACACAGAGAGAGCTAGTTCAGTCAACAAAAGGGGATGTTCAGTAAGAACATAAGAGAAGCCATGTTGGATCAGGCCAATAGCCCATCTAGTCCAACACTCTATGTCACACAGTGGCCAAAACTCAGGTTCCCTCAGGAGGGCCACCAGTAGGTCAGAACTTCAGAAGACCTCCCACTGTTGACCCCCCCCCCCCAAGCACCAGGAATACAGAGCATCACTGCCCCAGGCAGAGTGTTCCATCTATACGTTGTGGCTAATAGCCACTGATGGACCTTTGCTCCATATGTTTATCCAGTCCCCTGTTAAGAACATAAGGCGAGCCCTTCTGGATCAGACCAGTAGTCCATCTAGTCCAGCATCCTGTCTCCCACAGAGGCCAACCAGTTCCTCTGAATGGCCAACAATAGGGTATAAGGGCTGAGGCCTTCCCTTGATGTTGCCTCCTGGCTCTGGGATTCAGCGGCCTAGTGCCTCTGAATGTGGAGGTTCCCCTTGGTAACCATGGCTAGTAGCCATTGAGAGACTTGTCCTCCACATTGTCTGCCTTCTGCCTCCAATTCTGGTATACCAAGCAGTACATCCCACAGTGTACCTTGTAATTGGGAGACATGCCATTTCTTGGTACATGGGGACACTGAGGCATCTGTTTGCCCACGGAGGTGCCCAGATCTCCACTCTGTGTGTGTTATACTGAAAATATAAGAAGAGACCAAAGGCGTTGCACCTCCTCTGGCCACACTTCCTTGTGACATGCAAATGCCCTTCTGGAGAGCAAGCGAGGGGCCTGGGGTGATATCCGCTTCAATTCTGGCAGCGTGTCTGGTCTCATGGTAACATTTAGGCCCCACGGTTTCGTCTTCTGCAAGCGACTAATGAAGGGTCTGTTTCGTTTCCAGCCGGCTTCCCACGTGGACCAGGAGACTCTGACGGAGCTGGTGAAGCCAAGCATCGATTACGTGCGCCATAAAAAATTCCGGTCAGGGAACTACCCCTCGTCTTTAAGCAACGAAACGGACCGGCTGGTGCACTGGTGTCACGGCGCCCCAGGGGTCATCCACATGCTCATGCAAGCCTATAAGGTACCTTCCCATTTTGCCTAAGTGCCGCACGGTAACAGGAAACTGGGACAAGCAGGAAGAGCTGGATCCAGGCAGCTTTTCTGCTGGTGAAAAAGGAAGGCGGGGTCTTCTTTGGACACCCGGAAAGGTGGTGCTGGTTTGATTGGGGATCACTGATTGATTGATACAAATGGGAACCATTTATTTATACAATTTATACCTTGTCTTTCACCCCAGTGGGGTCCCCAGAGTGACTCACATCATTCTCCTCTCCTCTATTTTATCCTCACAACAACCCTGTGAGGTAGGTTAGGCAGGGAGGGAGGGAGGCTGGCTTCAGGTCACCCAGCAAGCTTCCATGGCAGAGTGGGGATTCGAACTCAGGTATCCCGGATCCGAGTCCAACGCTCTTAACCACTACAGAAGCCTTAATCATGGGATCTGTATCTACAAAAATCATGTGGGATGGGGGTTATATGGAGGAGAACTGGGCAAGTGAGTAGAAAAGCCAGCTAGCTCTGGCCCAAGGGATGAAAGCTGGAGTTTTCAGCCTTCTAGCGAGGACTTACTGGCGGCCCAACAGTATTGTCCTATCAGTATAGATTAGCCGCATGCCTCTGGAGACAAGTTCTGAGGGAAGGGCCGAAGGCGCCTCGGGGGGGGGGGGCACTTCTGTTTTCAACCCTGTAGTGACATGTAGTTAATAGCAATAAGAACTTTTAATGAGCTAAGTAAACAAGGAAGCTTCAGCCGACCAGGGGTGGGAAGTAATAAGCGTTTCTGAGGGGTGAAGCTTTAACTAGGCCTTTTGTGCCTGCTGGTGAGAAGGAGGAAAGCGTTAGTTGCAGGCCCATCTTCTTCCCCAGGCTCTCCTAACGCAGTCCATAAACAAAGTCTATCCCTTCAGCTTCAGTATGGTAAAGGTAAAGGTTTCCCTTGCTCAAAAGCCAGTTGAATCCGACTCTAGGGTTGCGGAGCTCATCTCCGTTTCAAAGCCGAAGGGCCAGCGCTGTCCGAAGACGTTTCCGTGGTCATGTGGCCGGCATGACTAAACACCATGGCGCACGGAACGCTGTTACCTTCCCACCGAAGTGGTACCTATTTATCTACTTGCAATTTCTTGCTTTTGAACTGCTCGGTTGGCAGGAGCTGGAACTAGAGATGGGAGCTCCCTCCGTCATGCGGCACACTCGGATCTCGAACTGCTGAACTACTGACCTTCCACAGCCCGCAGTTCAGCATCTTAACCACTTGAGCCACCGCAGCTCCATGAGCCACCGCAGCTCAGTATGGTAGCAGGGCTCTAAAGAAAGTTCTTTTCTCCAACTTCTTCCGTCCTCGCTGGTGTCCTCCAGCACTAGGGTTGCCAGGTCCCCCAGGGGGGCGGGAGCTTGCCCGCTCAATGGGCCCCTTACCCGCCGGCCCGGATTGGGCCCCTGGAGGTGACGTCATCGCGCCGGGCACGTTGTGGGGGGAAACGCTCTATCATTCGAGGGAGAACTATATGGTTTTTCCTCGAACAATAGTGGTCCTGCCCCCAGTGTGCCCCACTTGCTGCTGGGTATGGCCTATTATGCTAATGAGTTCATGCTGGGGTTTTTCTACAAAAAGAGCCCTGCCGGAAGGTCTGTAGGTCGGCAGTTCGAGACCCGAGTGCCGCTTGACAGGGTGAGCTCCCGTCTCTGGCCCCAGCTCCTGCCAACCTAGCAGTTCGAAAGCAAGAAATTGCAAGTAGATAAATAGGTACCGCTTTGGTGGGGAGGTAACAGCGTTCCGTGCGCCTTGGCGTTTAGTTATGCCGCCCACATGACCACGGAAATGTCCTCAGACAGCGCTGGCTCTTAGGCTTGGAAACGGAGATGAGCACCGCCCCCTAGAGTCAGATTCAACTAGCTTTTGAGCAAGGGAAACCTTTGCCTTTATCTTAATAACTGCAGCGCTGGAAGGAGATGGACTTCTGGTTTGTGCATCAGAAGGTACATCTGGACAGTTCAGAGGGCCTCAGGTGAGTGTTGTGGCGCAGAAAGAGATGTGCATCCGCACGTACAGGAGTGGTGCATGGGGAAGGCCGCTTCTTTTGCGCAAATCTTCCATATTAGATCACAGCAGAAGTGTAGTAATCGTGTTTTCATTAGAAAACTTGTGGGGGCTAAACGTGCACGTCGGGTTCTTAATGCCCTAGGTTTTCAAAGAGGACAAGTATTTGAAAGACGCCATGGAATGCAGCGACATCATTTGGCAGCGAGGGTTGCTGAGGAAAGGATATGGACTCTGCCATGGGACAGCGGGAAATGGCTATTCCTTCTTATCCCTCTATCGCCTCACCCAGGATAAAAAGTACCTCTACCGAGCTTGCAAGGTATTTCTTTAAAAATGCATGCGGTGTCCCCGTTCTCCTTTTCTATCCTTTTGGGGTATGTTTTTCGTTGTCATTCAGTCGCACAGTCGAGTCCGACTCTTCGCGACCCCATGGACCACATCATGCCAGGGCAAAACTCTTTGGTTTTAAGCCAGTTTTACCATACAGTTTTGCCCGTAAACCAGAGCGTCCCCAAGCGACACCCCTAGAGTGACGTCATTTCTGGGTGACATCGTCACGTTGGGGACGTTCCAGAACGCACCCCAAATCCACGTGCTGGAGTGACGGAACCTGGCAACCCTACATTAGGTGCCCCTAAGGATACACCAGCAGTCGTTTACCTGGAAGTCAGTCCCAGTAGTCCATTGGAGAGGGCCTCTGTGTCTTCTCCTTTCTCCTACTGGAAAAGCAATCGATGGCTATCTGCCCTGGATTGTGGTCTTCCCAACTGCTCACCACTGCCCTCTGGTGTAAACAGCTGCCATTTCTGCTTGGAACGGCTGCGCTAATATAAAAGCTGGGGGAGCTCCATTGTTCCTGAATGTAGCTCCAGCTAAGCATCCTTTCCCCACCGGCCTCTAACAGCAATCAATAAGGCCATCAGAGGAAGGCGAAGAAGCAGGCAGGCAGGCACCCCTCTGTTCTCCCGCATCCAGATTGGTGGAGACTCTCCTCCACCCACCCACCCATATACTTGTATTGAATTTTAATGTCATTTGTGTACTGATTTTTGTTCCGTTGGGGGCTGGTTTCGACCGAACGGCAGGGTGCAAACATAAAACAAAGCAGCATCTCTGTTTTGAAGGAAGGACGCCCACTACTTCAGCCACCAGCATGCAAACTTTAATCAGCATAGAACGGATTTTTGGTTAATCTGCCTTCCCCGTTTCCCGGAAACCTAATCACTGTCTTTATGGGGGCTGAAACTAACCAACGCAATCCAGACAGATGACTGCAATTTGTGTTTCTGATTTGTCCTCTGCTGCGTTGAGGATCGGAAAGTCGTCCGTGCTTATTTATTCTGGCCGTCAAGGGTATTCATTATCTTTTTCCTGTCTGTTTGCCGCTTTCCTCCCCAGTTCGCAGAGTGGTGTCTAGAGTATGGAGCGCACGGATGCCGGATTCCTGACCGACCCTACTCCCTCTTTGAAGGCAAGACAGATCTTTGTTGCCGGCCTCTCTGCAGCAGAGCTGTAGAGCGTAGAAGGGCTGTGGGGTGGGGGGGATTTCATTTTCAGTCAGGCTTCTGCTATCGTAAGACCTGCCTGAAGACTAAACAAAGAGTTGAAAGGCCTGCCCACCCCTGAGATCCTACCTCTTCTAGCTTTTGTTTCCCTGGCTCCTTTTCAAGCTCTTAGCCCTCGTTGGTCGGTTGGGTGGTCAAGTTGCCTGGGGTGTCATTTATACCGCTCCCCTCCTCTGTTGTTGGTTTTTTTTATTTAAATTTTTTATTCGTTTTAAAATGATCATTAACAACAATGAACATCAAAAGCATTAAACAAGCAACAAGAGATAAAGATCAAGTAGCCCCAAAAGTCTATTATGTGACAGTAAAAACTATTTTAACATTTTTGAACATTTATCAATCAATAATGAAGAGTATGAAGTGCTGGTAATCCTGATAGATCGATTCGGCTGAAATCCTATCAAGATCCTTTCCTCCTCTGTTCCAATCCAGCAACTGTTTTATGCCACATGGTGATATCTGAGGATGTAAGAAGAGCCCTGCCGGATCAGACAAGCCGTCCATCTAGTCCAGCATCCTGGTGCACACAGTGGCCAGCCGGTTACCTCGGAGGGCCAGATAAACAGGGCCTGGGTGCCAAGGCCTTCCCCTGATACAGCCAGACAACTGTACTACTAAATTCAGATTTAAAACCTTCCAGAATAAGAATGTTTGAATGGAGTCGCTTTTTGCTCTAGTTTGCTGCCTCTGAATGTAAAAGTTCGCTTTAGACATCTTGGCTGGTGCCAGGGCTCTTTTTGTAGAAAAAGCCCAGCAGGAACTCATTAGCATAATAGGCCACACCCAACAGCAGGAACTCATTAGCATATTAGTCCACACCCCTGACAGCACAGCTCATTAGCACATTAGGCCACACCCCCATGTTACCAGAAGTGTGGTTATCCAGCCACCCCTACCTTTTGCTTGTTATTCTGTTTACCTTGTTTGTTGTCAAAACCCAGGGCTTTTTTGCAACAGGAACTCCTTTGCATGTTAGGCCACACATCCCTAATGTAGCCAATCCTAATGAGTTTCTGCTGTTGGGTGTGGCCTATTATACTAATGAGTTCCTGCTGGGCGTGGCCAACTCAGGAGCCAGCCAGAACTCCGTTCCTGTGCGTTCCTGCCCAAAATAGCCCTGCTGGTAGCCATTGAGGAGTTACCTCCTTGTGGATGCCCTTGTTCTCCTGAAGAGTTCAGGATGTGCTCCTGTTACCGTCTACCTGTTCAGAAAGCCACCTCCTAGAACTTGTTTAATGCAGGGCCCTCTTCTGCTTTGCTTTCACAAGCTGTTCACAGCTGTTTGCACGTATCAGCCTGCCCAAGGTCCTGAGATCCATATGGGGCCTTGTGGTGGAAAGTTCCGTCAAGTCACCGCTGAGTGACGGCGGCCTCGTAGGGCTTCCAGGGCAAGAGCCGCTCAGGGTAACTGGCCTTCACGGAAGCTTTTTCATCCGCCAGCCCCAGATTGTGAACGCTCTCTCGCCTACAGCACAAAGCGGTTCCATCCACCTAGGCTTTCTGGAGTGCGTTGCAAACATTCTCATTCTGAAAGGTTTTAAATCTGAACTTAATGGTACAGTTGTCTGGCAGTGTTGCTTTTACGGGGTCTTATTGGGTTCGGTGGCTCAAGTGGTTAGGACGCTGAACTGCAGGCTGTGGAAGGTCGGTAGTTCAGCAGTTCGAGACCCAAGTTGCCGCATGACGGAGTGAGCTCCTGGCTCTAGTTCCAGCTCCTGCCAACCTAGCAGTTCGAAAGCAAGAAATTGCAAGTAGATAAATAGGTACCACTTCGGTGGGAAGGTAACAGCGTTCCGTGCACCTTGCTGTTTAGTCATGCTGGCCACATGACCACGGAAACATCTTCGGACAGCGCTGGCTCTTCGGCTTTGAAACGGAGATGAGCACCACAACCCTAGAGTCGGATTTGACTGGCTTTCAAGCAAGGGAACCTTTACCTTTTTATTGGGTGCCTGTAGTCGATTTGTGGTTTGGTTAATATATGTAATGTTGAGGAGGGGGGAGGTGGAAGTGTGCACTGCTTTTAACATTGTTTAGTGGAAAGATAGGGGCGTGGTGACTCAGAGGTTAAGACGCTGAGCAGCAGATCGGAAGTTCTGTAGTTCTGCAGTTCGAGACCCGAGTGCCACGTGATGGAGTGAGCTCCCGTCTCTGGCCCCAGCTCCTGCCGACCTAGCAGTTCGAAAGCAAGAAATTGTAAGTAGATAAATAGGTACCGCTTCGGTGGGAAGCTAACAGTGTTCCGTGCGCCTCAGCATTTAGTCATGTCGGCCGCATGACCACGGAAACGTCTTTGAACAGCGCTAGCTCTTCGGCTTGGAAATGGAGATGAACACTGCCCCCTAGAGTCGGATTCGACTAGCTTTTGAGCAAGGGAAACCTAGTGGAAAGATGGTCAGTAAATGTATCAGACAGTGCCACCCAGCCAGGCCCGTAGGCTGCGTGGGGCCCTAGGGGCCGGGCCCCCTTGCGCGGTTTGCGGGCCCCCTCCCCCAATCCTCTGCTCCCCCCCATGGTCTCGCAGGAGGGAGGGGAGGCGGGGCCCGTCGGAGGGAAGACGGCAGGAGTCGGCGCTGGCAGCCAGCGAGTCCGGACATCGCGGTCCCTCCGAGCCTCTCCCCCAGAGCGGCGCCGGCGCTTCTAGTCCGAGGGCAGCTGGCCGGTGCTTCCTAAAAAACCCCGCCCCCCCCCACCTTGCTTCTCAACATTGCAGTAGCAGCGCGCGACTCTCTATCCACGCGGGAGCCGGCAGCGCTGGACTTCAGGGGGCCGCTGAGCGCTGCTGCAATGTTGAGAAGCAAGGCGGGGGTGGGGGGGGGTGTTAGGAAGTGCCAGCCAGCCGCCCTCGCCTCGGACTAGAAGCGCCGCTCTGGGGGAGAGGCTCGGAGGGACCGCGCCGTCCGGGCTTGCTGGTTGCCAGCGCCGAGTCCCGACTCCCGCCCCGTCTTCCCTCTGACGGGCCGCCGCCTCCCCTCCCTCCCGCGAGGCCATGGGGGGGAGCAGAGGGTCAGGGGAGGGGGCCCGCAACCCACGCAAGGG